AATTATTATATCAACTTACAGAAAAATGTATGACAGTGATTGAATCCAAATCTCAATGCAATGCATAAACTTGTTAGGGTCTGTGAGATCCGTTATATATTTCCATATTATATTAAGCACTGATTGACAGTCTTCTTTTGGTGGAGATTCTCGTACAAGACACTCTCCTAAACTTCTATAGAGCAAATATTGAGGATATCCTACCGAATTGTTCAAAGGAAAAGTTAACATCTTTTAAATTAAATATACATATATCGCTATATTTCTCGCTTAATCTTTTAATCTCAATACCATCGTCTTCGCTCGCTACTATTAAATTTACAAAGTCCATAGCACGTGCGGCAACATACGTAGGTTTAAATGCAGTCAATACTGTATTCAATAATAATGATCTGAAAAAGTTACATATGTATAGAGACAACTAAATGCGAGATTAAGAATGAATAAAAGATATTTAAAATAGATATTTACCCATTCTCTTGTTGTTTACAGCGAGACAAAACTTCCTCGAGGAGACTCTCAGGCGATGTTACCACCAAAACTTGTACGATCCAATCCAACGCTGGTGAATAAAGATTCAAATAGGAATGTAGAGTGAGATTCTGCTTTGTTAATTCATTCTTCACAGCAGGTCCAAATAGCTGCTGGTAAGTAAAAAGAAAGCCGTAGAAATTTTCTCGCACAAATTCCAAATCTGATGTTTTGTTCAATGCCAATCCCACGCGACATAAGTAACATCTCGCGTAAACCGCTATCAATGGATTTCCGATTCCTCTTATCATATGAGTTATACGTAATAGAGCAGTATTAAATTCGCTGAAACAAAATATAATCGTTTTTAATAGTTTAATTTTTATTTGAATCGTTTAAACTTTCACGGTATTACTAGTGAAAGAGAATCTTACCTTGTTGTTAGAAAACTGTAAGATTTTATTATCGCCATTTCTACATACAAACGAGGCACTAATTCGCGTATAGAGGCTATCTTGTAAAACCAATTACGACACGTTTCCTTTGCATTCTCAGGAACCATATCAGGCGTAAAATTGTCGGGTAAACTCGTAGGTACTTTGCTTCCCGGCCTAAGAAAAAAAACGTTACTATTAGCAAAATTTAATAACATAATGTGTGCGACATTATGTGAAATAAAAAAATAAAATATATGCAACTTTAAATACCAAGAATCTCTTTTGTATGATACTTACTTGTAGTACTCAGCCTTTACTTTCAATCTTTCATATACAAGCTTTCAAAGATATCCAATATATCAGTGATGAGAACAAACTTGCTTGGATAGAAAGCCATTACAGATGTATCTACTAATACTTTGGCACACTGAAAAAATTATTTAGTATTAATTTCATATATATTTTTATTTAATTTAAGCTTCAATTTAAACTTTATATAATATATAGACGATAAATGACGAAATAAGAACCTGTATTGCAATTTTGAGCGCCTTTACTCTTTGATCGGAATGCCATGCTTGTACTAGTTCATTATTTAGTTGCTCAATTCGCGCAGTATACTGCTGCTGTGATAAGTCCAACATTTGTCGTACAGGGCTTTCCTCAAAATCATCCAATTGCTCCAATCGCGTTTTTACTTTGTCAACCATCGAGCCACTTGGCTGAACTTTCACTACAACTGTGATAAAAAACTGTTATATATTTAAATTAAAAATTAGAACGTATATTTAATTATAAAATAATATAGGCTATTTTTTTATAAAATTAAAATAAAATTATCTTGAAAAAGTAAACACCTTTTTCTCCACCCGGTAAGAAACTAGTAACAATTGATAGTTTCTCAGAAGTTGTGTATTTACTCAATATAGCAGACCGTCTAACAGACCATGGCTCAACTAATTCTTCCGCTGTATCTTTTAATTTTTACTAACTTGTGCAACATTAGAATAATCCCACTACAACATAAATAATAAATATGTAAAAATGATCAAGTATTTATAGAAGCATCAAAGATTATATATTACTTCATCTGCAGCCATTTTGGAAAGAGGATCAAGTTCTTCTCGAGCAAACTGTGTAAGAGGATCAGATCCATCCAAGGAAGGATGGCTTAGCAATGTATCGCTCAATGGATTCGTAGGAACTGGTGTATATGTCGGTGTGATACTCCAGTGGAAGAACTGGTACTTGTACTTCGTAATGCATTGCGTCTAGTTGAGTTACGTCCCTCAATTAACTACATATAAAGGAGATATAAAATTCTTATATAAAAAATTATATTTATATGAAAAATATTTGACATACAATATTTAGGAAATGTATTTATGTAAGATATATAATCTAATACTAAAATTAAATCTTACAGTGATTACAACTGGTTTTAAAGGATGATCTATAGCTTCCTCTAGACTTGCAAACTTTACAGATCCATATTCCGTAGGTTTTGAGATCCTGTAACAAAGTTTTTTCTATATACAAAAAGTCATTAAAGCATAATCACACACGTTCTTGTTGCTCGTGTTTTGTGAGATCAAAGAGACAAATTATTCCAAAAATGATAAAGTAATAACACATAGATACTTTAATATAAATAAATTGTATCTTCACCATTCTATCTCTGTCATATTTGAATGCTCCGAATATTGTTCTAAGTGACAATATAATCTACTATAATGATAAATGACAATTCATTATGCGGCTTCCAAATTTGACATTAGAAAATGCGAATTCGCGGAGTCGAAGCAAATGTCAAATAAACTTTCGACTCCGTTTTCACGTGAAGTATCACGTGACACTAGTCTCATTCGTCGCGTTCATTGGCTGCCTAATAAGGAACTTGCAAAGATTCTTCAAATCCTATTATTTCATAAGTTTCCATTCATATAATTATTTAATTAATGACGTAACGTAAAAACTATTTTCAACATCGAAATATATATATATATATATCTCGCGTCTCTCGAAATCTTTAAACGATAATTAATGGAGATTCGCGTAATGGGTGAATGTCAATTTGCAGATTGCACAGCTGTCGTGTCTCGCGAAATATGAAACGGAAAACGATTCTAACGAACCGCCAATGCGGCCTTAAATGAGCCTGAGGCAGCACCGACATCGTTCTCAATTTTAACACATCGGTGTTCCGTTCTGCCCAGTCCTCCTAGCACGCTGTCGATCGCGTACGGTTCGCGAAATCGAAGATTTCCGTGAGGAGACTCGCGACACGTCAGCCATGGACGATGTTCTCGAGAGCTGGGAGCAAATAGAAGAATCCAGTGTAAGGGATGCGCTTGAATTTTCCTCGTCCAAATTAAACGACGAATGACTCTCGTGTTAACCTATATGCATGCACGCGCGAATTCCTTCGTGTGCAAAGTTTTTTGGAACGCGACGAGAAAATTGTCGTCTGCTAAGATGCTTCTATCGTTTCATCCTTGTATACAGATTTTTATTTATTTATTTTTACAAAGGGTTGTAGTAATAATAGCTCGCGTTACCATAAGGACACATTCTTGTTTGGAATGTGTAAAGTTCGAGTTTGCATACAAATAATTTTTTTTCTTGGTAAATCAATACATTTTCAATCGAATTTATTGTTCCAATATTTCTGGAAATCGTTTATTATCGCATACTACACAAGAAAATAACGTAAAGTTATGACTGATTTTAGACTCTTGATAAAAGATTGGAGGCCCTTCAATTGGACGCAGTAGATGATGAATAGAATCTTCTAGGTGGGCTTCGACAAATATTTTCACATTCTTCTTGCTTTATTTTTTGCCAGAGTTATTAAATATATATATATATATATATATATATATATTTCTATTATGCAATTTGCTATTATCTATCATATATATATTATTACTTATAAAATAACTTTTTTGGATACAGATCTAGTCATAACACAAATACAAGAATGATCATTTTGGGAGAAGATGGTCTCAGATCTCAGTACGTAGCTCCAAATCCCACGGTCAGATATTGAAGAGAACAACTAGAGATTCACGGGGAAGCGGTGATGGGCCATTAAATGACGATAAACCTAAGCAACCTATCAAAACTTTGAAACAGGTATGCAACATTGTCTCATTTAAGTTACCACTTATCCTATTGAACACATAAAAAGATAATAAATTACTTCAGAGAGAGCAAGAATATGCAGAGGCACGGAGAAGGATTTCTGGGAGAGAAAAGAGTCCAGAAAAAAATGATCCCGGAAGTTAACAGAATCAGTCAAAGTCGACCACGACAAATGGCAACTATCCCAGCAATGTAGTTCGCATGCCTGCTGGCCCGGACGGTACTCGAGTTTTAACGTACGCAGGTAGCGCGTCTTCCAGTTAACTTTTCTCACCCACCTTTTTCCTATTCTCCTCACTCATGATATGAGAAAGGAGAACGGCTATGGGCCATTGGAAGAATTTTGCACTCTGAAGAGAGCGAATGGAGATCTTCAAGAAAAGTTCTATCCCGCAAGTCACCATGCGTACATAGGTACAGGAACCAAGAGAGAACGGACTTATCGAAGCAAATGATGAAAATATAAGAGAAAAAAATAATTACATATGTATATATATATATATATATATATATATAAAAATCAGAGTTACATCTCGAGCGATGCAATGGGACGGAGACGTGGATTCGTCACATGCAAATAAAAATGTTTATTTGCATTATTCATAAACTTGTAAAATATTCAAAGTAAAAATCTAATGGATTGTGTAATAAGTACCCTTGAACTGTGTAATAAAAAGCTCCTTGTATATATATATACACATATATAAGTGACAACAGTGTATGCAATATGCCGAGTGTTTTGTTATTAAATCGAAGATACTTTTAAACAAATCTTTTATTGATATCCAAGTAATAGGATATAAGCGTAAAAAAATTATATATTTTTATAATTATATTACAATATTACTCTTTAATACATTAATCATGCTTAGAATAGTACGAGAAAATGAGAGAGCACGATGATTCATCGTGCTTATTGAAACAGTATCCCTCCGATAACTGCATCATATATGTATTTTTGACATCGATAATGTATCCAATATGACATATATATTTATATATATATATATATATATCTATTGGATATATATAAATATATATAAAAGTTTAAGGTTGATTTACATTAAATAGAATAGAATTTTTATGTAAAAAATATATATTATATCGTCACAGATTAATAGACAGATCGCCAAAGGTCTGGATGAAGGAGAGACCAGCATTTCTCACTGATTTCAGCGCCATATCGTAGTAGTGGTCAATGCAGTAACTATTAATACGTCCCAAGATAAGAGCGTCTCATGCTCATGAACTCGTCCGGCGGCATGTACGAGATTTATCTTTTCGTAGCGTTCGCGTATTTCGGAAAGGACAGAATTTTATGATGTTATAAATAAATAAATAAATAAAATATTAACCTGACCTATTATAATTATTTTTTAATAAATGTTTCATTATTATTATCATCTAAGTCTAAGTCGTTTAATTAATTTTTAGTTTTTTAATAATTAATTTAATTTATTCTAATCATTTTAATATGTGAAAATACTAATACGTATACGTTTTATAATGAATTAATATATTTCGAGAGTCGAATTATATATTTTTAATAATATAAAAGTGTTCAAAAATTATATTTGACTTTTAATTTTAATTATTTTAGCAAAGAGTTCCGAAATCTCTTACACACATAATAGGGATTTTGTTCATCCATATAATTCGCAATTAAGTATATATGTTAATTATTAATTTTAATAAAATACAAAATTAAAATTAAAGGTCAAATATAATTTTTGAACATAAATATATTTAATTCGTTATAAAACGTATACCCGTGATAGTATTTTTCTCGTACAAAAATAACTAGAACAAATTAAATTACTCATAAAAAATAAAAAAATAATTAAATAATTTATATTATATATGATAATAATAAAACATTTTATAAAAAAAACAGATTCAATAAATATAAGTATATATATAACATGTACTTATATTTATTGAATCTGTTTTTTAATAAAATGTTTTATAAGCTTAGAAAACTTGACTTTGACGTAACTAGCAAATTTTATTTAATTATTTCACGACGGTTTGACGTAATAAAATGTTTTATTATTATTATATAAAATATAAGTTTAAATTCTTTAATTAATTTTTAATCTTTTATGATTAATTTAATTTACTCTAATTATTTTTGTACGAGAAAAATACTATCATGGGTATACGTTTTATAATTAATTTAATATATTTGTGTTTAAAAATTATATTTGACCTTTAATTTTAATTTTTATTTTATTAAAATTAATAATTAACATATATACTTAATTGCGAATTATATGGATGAAAAAAATCCCCATTATGTGTGTAAGAGATTTCGGAACTCTTTGCTATAAAATAATTAAAATTAAAAGTCAAATATAATTTTTGAACACTTTTATATTATTAAGAATATATAATTCGGTTCCCGAAATATATTAATTCATTATAAAACGTATACGTGATATTATTTTTCTCATATAAAAATGACTAGAATAAATTAAATTAATTATTAAAAAACTAAAAAGTAATTAAACGACTTAGACTTAGATGATAATAATAATGAAACATTTTATTAAAAAAAGATTCAATAACTAGTAGGTCAGGTTATAATTTTTTATTTATTTATTTATAACATTATGAGCTATTAAGCTCATCATCTCGTTCGCTCTCTGTCTTGCTTTCATTCGGCAAGTCACAAACGAAACTCGTGTCCAATATACAGGGTGTCCGGTAACTAACGACCAATGATTACAAATGGATTCTTTGGTCAATTTGGGAACGATTTTTCCTCAGCGAAAATGTCGAAAAAGGTCATCATTTTTTACAACTTTCCAATCTTTGTCATTATGTATCTTTATAACTAAGCCTTAAATTAAAATTTTATTATAGTAAACTCTACCTGAAATTAACTGAAGAATGTAATTATGTTAGACTTTTAACTCCAAAACGTTTAGTTTTCAAAAAACCTATTTTTTTCAATCGCTTATAACTCGAAAATTATTGACTTCTCAACATTTTTGCTAAGGAAAAATCGTCTCCAAATTGGCCAGAGAATCCGCCCTTAATCATTGGTCCGTTAGTTACCGGACACCTTGTATATATTATATAAAAGTGTATAGCACGTCAGAAGCTTGTGAGCTTACAGCGATAAGTAAAAACAATTGCGTATTTATTTCATTGCGTTTATCTGTTTAAACGCGCGCTTTAATTTTTCCAACGTTTTTGCCTGTTTATATTTTAAAGGTCCTCTCTTCTAAAAATCTTGTTTTAAAGATCCTCTCCGCGAGCAAAATTCGAAAACATAAATTATTTAATATTTTTACTTTATTATTTGTAAATCCTCGGTAATTTCAAAATTTTTCTATTTGAAAATTATTAATTTTCTATTGCCAATTAATTTTATCACAGACTTTACTCTTACTCCCATTGCACTTTCGTTTGCGGTTTTCAGTATACGATTTTTTATCGTAGTTACTGAAAATTATTATTGTGAATTATACTTGTGCAGTGATTTGAAGAATTTACAATTTCGTTGAAATTGTTGATTTTTCAAAAAAATTACGAGATTCGCGGAAATTGCGTGCTTTCTTGGCATTTTCCGTTCGCGGCAGGCGGTTTATTTTTGATTGTTGCAAGTTTTTTTGTTTTTTTTTTATTAAAATAGATAATAATAATGTGAAATAAATCACGATATTTGACAGATGTGCATATATATAGAAATTGTAATAATAATAATATTATATCATAAAATTGTAAATTGTTTCAATTTTTTATAGACTGCGATAAAAGATTTTACATTTGGATAAGAAACTGCGGTAAGTAAAATATAAAATTCTTGAAAACGTACCAAAAATATTTGATAACGTAAAAGGTGAACTTTGAAAAATAAGGAACTTAAAAATTGCACTAATAAATGGGCTATATGTGAGCCGTGCGCGGATGTAAGGTGTGTTATATCGAAATTTAATTAATAGAATTGAGAATTAATCCCAATTTTAAGTCTTACAAATGTCCAAGCTAATTTTTTGTACCTCGTGTACATTTTTGAAAGTTATATCGAAAAATTAAATTTCAATATGCGTCTTACATCTCACATTTCGCATACGGCTCACATATAGCCTATTTATCTCTTATACTTTATTTCAACCCTTATAGAAATTTATTACTAGTAACGCCAATTATCACTTATTTCGAGTAATTAATCACTTTTATTTCGAATACTTAAATTACTGTATATTATAGTATTTTAAATACTCAAAATAAGTGATTAATTGGCGTAGTGATAAATTTCTACAAGAGAATAAGGAGCCTTTAAATTCTTAATGTAAAAAATTTCAAGTAATTTTCTTTAATAAAATTTAATTAAAAATTTAATTAAAAATTTTTGAACACTGTGTTATATCACATTTAAAATCGTGATTATTTCAATAAAAAAACATTTTATGTGTAAAAAATATATTTTTTATATTTAATAAATTTATATATATATATGCATATATGTAAAATATTCTCTCTCTCTCTCTCTCTCTCTCTCTCTCTCACACACACCCACACACACACACAACGGGGGCCAAATCTCTCAAATTGGTCTCATGATCAATTAGCCTGGATTCGCACCAGGGGCAAAGTCTGTTGGTAATGTCAAACGAATTTAGCCTGGACTTGCACCAGGGGCAAAGTCTTTTGGTCGAGTCTACGAAATTTAGCACGGACTCGAACCAGGGGCAAAGTCTTTTGGTTCAAGTCTACGAATTTAGCACGGACTCGAACCAGGGGCAAAGTCTATCGCACGAAGATGGCGGTCTCTTCTTTAGGCAGGCCTTTGGCGATCTGTCTATTAAGGGTCGGCAGTACACCCAGGCAAACTCCGAATTGATATTGGAGACCTCGTGCGGTGACAACGCGAAACTCCGGTTTCAGTGTTGCCAACGCCGAGAAACCAATTCTCGGGTTTTATGTAGTGGTGTATGTCTGTACACGTACATACACCAACTGCATCGCTCACGCGGACGCACGTAAGAGAGACAAGGACCGATAATCACGTGTTCTCCTTGTTCATCTACCGTGCCGGTATACGCGAGATGCCGCCTGAAAATGCTTTCTGGCCTTCCGTAGCAGAAAGCAGTAACGTAGCAAGACTAATAAGCACCCACTTTTTGGAAATTGTATATATGGTTATGCACATATGTGCATAACGTATATATATAACATATATATATATATATATATATATATATATATATATTATATAAGGGATATGTTGATTATATTTTTGATTTCTTTTTGATTATTGATGCTATTGTATAATTTGCTCCAAATACTTATAACGTGAAAGAACGTTGAGTAATGTATAATCAATGCAAGGATGTTCAGTATATCATCCAGTATATAAATTAGAGTTCAAATATATCAATATCAATTTTTTATAATATATATATATATTAGAATATAGAAAAATGATAAAAAAATATATTTCGGCGATTTAAAAATTTTTAATATATTGAAAATATTTTTACTACATACACTATATATAAGTGTAAAATAATTCAGAAAATAAATTTAATAAAAATCTACATACCAGCTGTGTGCATGTGTGCAATTGATTTATTACTTGAAATTTATTTACGGAATTATTTTGCATTTATATATTTATAGTATGTGTAGTTGTAAAATGATTAAAATATTTTCAATATCAAATTTTTAAGTTTATCGCCTATATAAAAAATATATTTCTATGATTTTCTATATTCCAATATATTATAAAAAAATTGATATTGATATATTTGAACTC